TTACCCATCAGATATTGTTGTTCGATAACTAAAAACGCCATATTTTTCAAACACCAATACGATAGTCGGATTCAGCATGGAGTCCTGTCTGTGTTTCTTCAAAACAAATGAGAGAATTTTCGTTGTTTTTCGTTAGGGGGCCAAGACTTAAAAAAGAAAAACAAAGTTTTACCTGTCCTCGTCCTTTTAGTGAAAACAAATATGGTATCCTTTTGATATTATCGAAGTTTTTGACAGGGCTGACATGGTGGTGCGAGCGTATGTGAAGAGACTTCACTTGCACATCCAAAACACATGTAGCTGAGAAATTCTTAAATTTTAGGGGTAACGACACATTTACGTACTTTGTGGACGAATAATTATTACAAGACCCAAAAATTTTCATTGGTTACTACAACCAAATTAATTAAATTAAAAGTATTATCTGCTTTGTTCGGTTATCCACCACGGTTTTCAAAAAATGTGGATCGTTCGTATCGGTTATTTTATCAGTGACAATACAGCTGAGTGTTTAATTTACAACGACATCCATTTCCATTTTTTTTATTGTATTTAGGCGTACAGCATAAACCTACTGTGAAATAATTCTGATAATAGAGATACATTTCATTACAAGATAATATTATGTGCTATTGGTGTTACTTGCTCAATAATGTTTAGATGTGGGTTCGAAACAAGATTAAGTAAGCGTTTATCTAAATGTGAGTACTTTTTATTTTTTGATCCAAGAAATAAGAATTTGTTTGCGATCCTGTACGATAATATATCGATAACAGTCTTAACGAGTTTTTTGACGAAACGTAGGAAAGCCGTCAAAAGTCGCATCGGTGAATTTATTCAACGGTAACTGGATTGGACAGAGAATTGAGAACAGGATTATTCAATATGCCTGAAAAAAAGAAGATGGAATTATCGTATAACAGAAAGAACATGTATGTATCTTTTCTGTACTATACTTGACTTGATGTTTTTTTTCTTTCTTTCTATGCACACTATAGAGAGAGATATAAAGCAAGAAATGGAGAAAAGAACAATTTTATCGTTTTATCCAAAAGAAAGATTGTCTTCGCTATGAAATTCGTGTTCATTCTAGCAACTTCCCAGATTAAAAAGTTAACAAATTTGAAAATACCCTTCTCCAGTTTTTCTGCCAGTTTATAGTACACAACTTGTACTCTATATTATGCTATTTTTTAGAACAAGGTACTGTTTAGTTTTTCAGTTATAAGGCTGCCTATATCACAGCTGAACGTATGAAAAAGTAGGTATCTACTACAGTATAAAAGCCAAATGAGTTTTCAGAGAACTTTCTGAACTACCATGACTTTCCGGCTTTCTCTTCGGGCTATGGTAGTCAGAAGTAATGTACGTAAAACAAGAGTAAAAAGGCTGCTACTATCCATAATCAATATTTTCTTGAGAAAAGTGACGCTAAATAAACAGTTTTACTTTCACATTTTAACATAACATTTTATTCAACATTTTGGTGGCCTCGGAAATAGTTATATTTCTGCTCAACAATATTTCGAACAATATTCCCGTTGGTCTTATCATTGCAAAAAGCGATATACCTCACAAACTAAACGGGATCCTTTTCTAAAAAATACATCAGTATCGTGGAAAATTCGTGTACTTTAAACTAGTAGAACAAACGGGAATACAATTTGTCTAATTAATGCAATTTGAACTCGCGAAATTGGCAGAATACGAAATAAGTTTAGAGTGAGCACTCCCTTCCTTGAATATGTAAAAGATGAACAAATTTTCTATTTTCATCAAATGTAAATTCACTTGCTTTGCTTTTTTTTGTGATGGATAAATGGTGCGAAGCTATAATCAGAAATAGATTTTCATAACTTCGATTATAAAAGCTTTCAATCATATGAAAAGTATGAACTTTTATCAGGCTCGGAGATACAGAGTTATATATATATAAACTCTTAGAATTAATTTTATGTTGACTAAACATAAAATTTGGAAAGGGGAAATTCAGAAAATTTTTTTATTTTATTTCTATTTTTAGGCGCTATTATTCTGGCACCACTGTCAAAGTGTTTTCGCGCCTAAACACGGATATTGGACTTTCTGCTCTTGGTTTATTCTGTCTGATTTACCTAACTTCAAAAGAGATAATTTGCAGTGCTCAATTTAACATTTCAACACTGAAAAGTATCATACAAATGGGCTGACTTGTAGGACTGTAAAAGTTACCGTTGCGTTGATTTAACGCTAACTGAAAACACAGTTACCGTTAAAACAACGTTAACTATCAGTTAGTTAACTTTGTGGTAACTACTTTTTAAGTATGGCAGAAATATCCACGCAGCGGCTTAAAATAGCTGCCAAAATCGTTAGCTTTCCACTAAAACTGTTGAAACTTTCATAAATGACATGGTCTCCAGAGAACTTAAAAACCACAGTTACGAAACATTGAAGTTATATAATTTCGATTAGTTTAGTTGACTGGCACATGTGTACCAATCAAAACCATGTCATTTATGAAAGTTTCAACAGTTTAAGTGGAAAACTAATGATTTTGGAAGCTATTTTAAGCCGTTGTGTGGATATTCCTGCCAAAATAATTACCGCAAAGTTAACTAATTGATAGTTACCGTTATTTCAACGGTAACTGAAAAGACAGTTACCGTTGTTTTAACGCTAACTGTCTTTTTAGTTACCGTTGTCGATAACGGCCGAAGAAGTAACGGTAACTTTTACAGTCCTACTGACTTGATCTGAGAGAAAATTTTATGGCTCATGACTTGACTCGACTTGACTTGAGAATATTCTTGTTGAGTTGACTTGACTTGTGATCTGAAAGCGTCTCACCCAGCTCTGATTCTAACTCGTTATAAATACTTTCACGGAGAAAAGGAATATATGAGTCAGTTTCATCATTAGTCATACTTGGAGAACGATAGTTACTGGTAATACCCAAGCAGAAAAGATATCGACTATCTGCCGATTTGGATTTAACTCAATATACTACCCGATATAGCTAGCTAGCAATTCGAATTAAGTTATTTACTATCGGACGATGTAGCTAGCTAGCCCAATATATTACGCGATATATCGACGATCGGATCACTCACCTTTTGGTTTTGCAGTCACCGTACTATATGTGTAAAACATATACTTCACAAATTTACAAAGTATTTATTCATATCAAGTGAATATATTAAGCAACGATAGACCAATATATTGGAGAATATTGCTTTCTGTAAATATATTACAGAAAGCAGGATGTCTCCGGGATGCAATGTAGACAGCATCCTTCATGCTGTGAATACGTGAGTCAATATATCTAATTTCATAGCTAGTGGCGCAGTGGCATCAGATACTGCCCACAATATATTGACTAAATAGCTACTCTGATCAGTGTTTTTTGTCAACCCGATATATCGGGTACGATATCTGGTCGCTAGCTATCATGCCCGATATAGCTAGCTAACTCAATAAAAGTGGTACGTATAGCTAGTTAGCACAAGCCTATATTACCCGATAGCATATTTGTATACCTAGATATTCTCAAAGGCATTTTTTTGCTTGGGTAGAATTCTACTGATTTTTGGTAAAATCATTTCGAAAAACGTTATCTCAAAGTAGTCACTACCTTCGTGACTACGCGAGTCACTACGCTCGTGTATGCCACAACCATATCGAACGGTTCTATATGGTTGTGGCACACACGAGCGACTTTGTGTGTTGACATACCGCTCTATCATAATGGATGGTGGAGAAAGAAAAAAAGTAATATAGGTCATGTTTACCTTGTCTGTCCTTTTACACACACAGTACATGATCTTTACATAATAAAGAACCTTTATTAAAGATTATATACAAACCACTGTTAGGTTCGTCATAGTTGCGTACGCTATACTCTTTTCACGAAGTAAAAAACGAACACTGACTAATTATTTCATTCAATCATCATTATCTTGCCAAGTTATAAAGAAACAGAACACGATGTGATATAAATGTTTTCCACGAATAAGTCTTGAGATAAATAAATGAAAGTCGGAGCACACCATCCCAGTACATTGAAGAACAACTGAGTTGGTTGAGTGCGAGATATAGTTGTGAAAAATGGAGAAAAGCATCTAGACATAAAGGTACTCACAGAGAGATCGGTCGAATCATGGTTCATGTCGTCAAAGCACTATCATCACACAATGGGCATTTTTTCGTAGAGCAAGCGGACATCTGGTTTTTTCAGTTAAAAAATGATTATTTTCGCATAATACAGTCTTATTATGTGTCAGATATTAATAGAAGTAAAACAAATCGAATTCGAAAAAAAAGTTTTATTTGATAAAAAATTCCCTTAGTTTTTTCCCCTATTGCACTAGTTTTGCGTCAAAAAATGTTTTATTTGTAAAACTAAGAAATTACTAAATTAATATTATCATTCGATACAGTTTTTCAGGCTGATTCCAAATATCACCTTATTTTTTAATGCAGGAGTTTCTGTGCCGAGAAAACATCAAAATAGCTAAAAAAATGAAGGGCTTTTGGAAAATCTATAATTCGACTTTGGAAAATATGCGCAGTTTTGGGCACACAAAGTAGATCCAGGACGTTCTGACGTAATATTGAGTCGAATTCGATCTGCGCTAAATTGTGCGATCTCATTATACTGTACATATGTATCGGAAACAATATTAGGTTTGGGAAAACACGAATTTTTTGTCGAAATATATAACTGCGCGGATTCCGAATATACGCGTTTTATAGCATCACGTTAGGCTGATATTACAAAAAAATATATTCCCCCGTGAAAGATGCTTAAACCGAGTGTATTTTTACTGATACATTTTTTCCGAAAATTCGCTACTTGAGAGCAAAACTTTATAACCATTAGATACTCGTTCACCGAAGTATATTTGACACTAGTTGAATTTTGAAAAGCCTACTTTCGATTTTATGTCGAATGCCCGCCTGAATGCCCACTGTGCATCATGTTTGAGGATAGCTGATGAACTCTATTTTAAGATCTAAACATGACATTGTATCTTGTTTCTCCGTCACCACCCACGGGCAATAATCGTCGAATCGAACTTACCGGCAACGATCTATGGTTCATTGCGCGTATTGACAATGTATTCGTCTATCCGTCCGATTTGAATGTCGATCGTTTCAGGGAAGCACTCGGTCGTGCTCTCTCTCTGTGGCCTCTTATCAGCGGTCGTTTTCTCTTACTCGACGGTGATCACTACGTCATTGAAATGTCCGACAATCCCATCCCGATTTCTTTGACGGACAACACTGAGTTAACGAAATGGTCTCTCGACTCAAATGTAGTGATTGAAACCACTCAAAATCCACTACTGCCGTTTCTCGACGAAGTGCAAAACGAGAAATTGTTGCGTGGCTTCCCCCCGGAACCGCTTTTTCGTTTGAAACTCACTCGTATTGTACAAAGCGGCGAATGGATAATGGGTGCAAGCTGGGCGCACATGTTAGGCGATACCGCTGCTTGTTTGGGCTTTTTAAATACAATCTCACGTTTATATCAACAAATGGAGCCACTCAAACCGTTACCTGTATTTGAAAGACGCTTATGGCGAGAAGACGAGGCCGATCAGTCCCTCTTACCCATCATGAAACCACTGCGTGATGGTGGGACTATAGAAAAAATGATGGAAAACTTTATGGCTGACCAAGTAACGCATCGTCAGGTCAATATGTGTTTTTCAGCTGAACAACTCGCTAAATTGCGTACACTGGCTGGTGGGACTAGTGTCACGACTCAAGATGCTCTTAGTGCCTACATCATTCTTACACTCAATAACAACTATTTCGAAAGCGACGATCAGCTCATTCTACGCAGCAACACGGTTGCCAGTTGTCGCGGTGTCTCCGACTCTATCACACCGCCTGGTCTAGTTGCCAACGCTGTCTTTATAATATTGTCTGAAGATTTTGACGATCCACGATCTCTGTCAAGTATTGCTAAGGCAATTCGTCGATCTATTGTTCGAGCGCGCGATGTTAAATTTCTCGAAACCTGGCTGGCCACTGCCGATGGATTGATGAAAAAAATGGCACGTGAGAACCGACTAATCAGTATGGATTATTACTCGAACGAAATCGTAGTAAATTCGAATTTTCGATACGACTGGGCGGGTCTTGTCGATTTTGGCCACACCGATAAGTGTCGCTTTTATACGTCAGGCACGAGTGCACTCTATGTGCGTGTTTTTCGTCTCAATCCAGTTAACGATGGGACTCAATGGTTATCCAGAGACCGAGATGGAGCCGAAGTGGCCTTTCGTGTTAAAAAAGACATGAAGAAAAAATTTATCGACGCGTGGAAGAAAGATATCAATGAAAATTTTACCAATGTAAGAATATAAAAACAGTGGTTATTTTAATATAAAAAGCCGCATGGTGCAACTGAAATAGCTGGAGACCATGAGCAAATATGAGACCTATGCTTTCGTCTATTGAAAACTTATTCAATATGTAACGTTGTTCTTCCTAAAGAAAAGTATTGAGATTATTATATAATCGCTTCGCGGATCTGTCCTTTTTGCTTTTTTCTTGTTTTGAGACAAAGGATAGTTAATCGCAGCTTTTTCGGAATCTATTATAAAACATATGTAGCACAATGAGTGAAAGACTAAAAATCCCTGTAATTCTGTACATTGATCCTGAAAATTTCTTAGAGAAACGGTCAAAATCTGCATGAGATTTTTTTCAGGTGTGCGATACTAGGAGCAGTACGTTCCCCTTACTTTACTCTGAAAAATAGCGGTTTTCCGTTACCAGCACTGGAAATTGATACGTTTCGTCTATTCTCGGGTGATACACGACTAGTTGCCGTCTACACACTCGTTGGGAACTAGACTTTTTACTCGTTTATCTTTAACTTTTTATCCGTTTTTAAATAAAAGGCGGACGAGTTCGCATGGTTAAAACTTTTTAAGGAAAAGAGCTAGGGACCTGCGGTTTTCGCCATCCAAAAGAGCAACTCAGGGGACACAAGTCTACATAAAAAGAAAAAATTTCCGAAAGTTTTCTCAGGCTAGCTTTAGCGGACGAAAGTTGGGGAAAATAGCGTTTTCCGAAAAACATCTTATTTTTATTTTTTTCGCTAGTCTAATAAAGTAAGATGTCCTCTTTCGAATGTTATCTAAGCGATTCCGCAAAATTTTGCTTCCTTGCCAAGATACAAGCGTTGTAAAAATGGCTCACTTTTCCCAAAATTCGAGGTTTTAGTCGTAAAAAGTGTCAGTATATGTATTCGAGTGCGCTAATCATCGTGCCTGATGTCACTTTTTTGTTTCGAGGCGAAAAAGACGAGTTAACAGAGTTTTTTGAAAAAGTGAGTTTTCTTCGAGAAAAGGCAAGATATGCGTTTTTTTGAAAAACTCTGTTCACTCATCTTTTTCGCCATCTTTTACGAAAATTTTTCTTTTCATGTAGACTTGTGTCTCCTACGTTGCTGTTTTGAATGGCGAAAATCACCGGTGCCTGGCTCTTTTCCTTAAAAACTTATAAGCATGCGAACCCGTCCGCCTTTTATTTAAAAACGGATAGTAGATGTGTCTGCATGTGCAACTACCAATAGTTAAATCGGTCAGTTATCTGGCCATAAATCATTAAATAAAAATACCTCGACACAGAGTACAACTTGTGTACTTCAAACTGATGTGATAAAAAAGAGAGGGGTACATTCAAGTTAATTTCATTTTCATCTGTCAAGCTGACAGAATATAGAGTAATTTCATCGTGAGTGCAGTGAACATTTGAATGAATATAAAATATTTCCTTTCCTTATTTTGTTCTTTATAGAAAAATAACATACTACACCCATATGCATGTTGCGGACAAACGTCAAATTTGAGGTTTGCTCAGAAATTTTCTGGACAAAATAAAAATAAAAACATAATGCTGTGATGATCTCCATAAAAAACTTAATATTTCTTATAATTATTCATTTTTATTGTATAAAAGGTCAAATTAAAGTATAACATTATACTCTTAGTTTCTAATATTCAGTAACGACCTCTCTCACGCTCTGAAGGAGAATATAGCTTGTTACTGAACAGCGTACTTATCCACTTCACCGCATAAGGATGACATGATTATCGAAGTAAGTTTTTTTAAATCTTTTAAATAAAAAAATATATTCAGTTTTATATTCATAACGTTCAATATGTAAGCGATTATATAAAAGTTTTAGCCTTTTTTAGGCAATACAGGAAACAAAAAATAAAAGGAAAATAACTTTTACATTAGTCATTACTTCCATCTATAATAATATTAAATAAAATCTTATCATATTTACAAAACAACAGCTCAAGTACAAATATACGTATAGTACTCAAAACAAGCTCTCCTCTTTACTACAACTCAGTTTTTGTAAAGTTTACTTGTAAATAGAAATAAGTATTATCAGTAATTAAAATATTCGGAATAATAAACCATTGTTTCTTTGACTGTAAGTCTAGGGTTATGCGTTCGAAATAATGCAAAAGATGTCGGCGTTACTCCATCAGCGTCATAATATAATGCGTTGGTCCATTAAACATAGTACAGTGAAAAGAATGTTTTTAACTGTAGTTTTGGTTATCAGCCCGCACGGATATTCTTGTGTTTTGTCCAGAAAATGGCTATAGCTCGGCCGCCCACAGATTCTTGTGCTCTTTGCATATAGAAAAGACTTTCAGTCAATGTGGATCGCAGATGAACATTAGTTATTTTATAACTGTTTTTTACATGGGTAGACAGTCCAAGTGTCCTCTTCGAAATCATATCGAATATCGATGATTTTTTAAAATAAGCGTGATCGATTACGTTGTACGGCTTAAAGATCTCGTCAGACACTATCGGATGTCTGGTTCTTCGCCTTTAGTTTTCACCGTATTCAACACTATACTTACTATCGATATAGGTCGATGCCGATAGTAGGTAAATAAAACTAAAACAAAATGACTTTTGTCTCTATACGATTAGTTGTCTTTACACTTTTGTATTATGTGCAGTCTGATGGCAATTTTCACCTACTGAAAACCTACTTTGTCTGAAAAATACAATTTGAAATTCAAAAATCAGTTAAAATCGATCCATATGAGATGGAAACATTAAAATATGATTGTAGTAGTACCTTATTTAGACAGAAAACAAAAATAAAACAGAATTGATCTCAGTATTAATAAGGTTTTCGAAAGATACTTTCAGAAGTCTACTTAAAGAAAAGATTTTCAAGCTTAGCTCGATTTCTTGTCAAACGTTATTCAAAAAATATTCATGCTTTTCTATTTTTGACAAGGAGAATAGCGTTGATTAATTATAAATTAAAACCTCAAAAAAGCTTTTCCATTAAGTTTTTATCAGATTTTAACCACATATCATTGGCTATCAAGCTGCACAAGAAGGATATTTCTACAATTATTTCTATCGTGTTTTATAGAATGGGAAACTTGCAATCCAAATTTTACTTGCAACTTAAACTTAGTTAATTAACATCTCGACGAATACTGATTAGTTCATCGAAAAAATTTAAGGACATATGAAGTCAGGCATTCTTTTCCAACAGACAAAGTTGGAGACTATAGATAAAAAAGCTTCGTCTTACTTTGTGTTCTATCACTCATATCAGTATTGTAAATTGTTGTAATATGTAATTATTGTAATACCTTTTTTTATACAATGATGTTATAATGTAACTTTTCCGTTTTCGTCAAAATATCAATAATCTGAACTCAAATCTGTCTAGCCAAGGTATGAGCTATAAATTGAAATAATTCTTCTTATAAAAGAAAAACAGTTTCTGACAACATATATAGCAGTTTACCAAGTGTTACATCCACTGTACTACCATAGCTAGAAGCTAGCTGGTAGTATCATCCATGTTTTACACAGTCGACTTTCAATCTTCGTGAAGCGCAGTTGGCATCTAGTTGAAGATCCATTTCTATTGTGTAACACAAAACTGTTTAATTTTAATTTTTATCAAACCGGAAAACAAACTGTTTCTTAATTAAATGTTCAACAAAGTTTATCTAGTCGATAAACCAAAAAAACAAAGAGATCTCCAAGAAGGACCAGTTCAGACCATTCAACTTTTTAAAAACTGTGACCAAGTCGGACCAGATGGATTAGGGTCCGGTCCGACTAGGTCCTGGACAGGACCATACAGAGCCCTGATGACTACTGTTTATTACTGACCCAAATCGAAGATCCCATGTGTGTCAGGAACATATCCAGTACTTAAGACCAGAAGTAACATTAAACAAAAAATTCCCATTCTTCCGTTATGAAGTATAGTAAACTTAGCCTTTTATATTGGCTTGAGTAAGAAATACAAAAAATAAGTAAGATTTACAAAAAAATAAATGACTGTTAAACAGATCATGAGAAATGAGGAACGAACTCTAGGATATGATGAAGGAAGTTAAAAAAAAAGAAAAAATTATTCTAAGCAGATAAAGCTAACTGTTCCGGCAATGACCGGTTTTTTTCTCCTATTCTTCTAAAATCTTTCATTTGTAATACATGTGCTTTATAAAACAGATAAGCCGCTGCGATAACTAACATCAGTCCAAATGGTGATAGCAACCATCCAAATCGATAGGCACGTGTAACCATCACAGACCAACCAATAAGAAAAGATATAGACCACCCAAAGATTAGATAACGATATGGAAATCGACAACATTTTGCTCTGAATGATTGAGAAACTGAAAGCTTTGACTGTTGTGACTGGAGTTGTTGGTAGCGGTGGTAAACGCAAGACGATATAGCGAATGTATATGGAAATAAACATAGAAACAACTGAAACGAGAGAGAACATTTGAGTTTTGGGCCAAAATTAGCAAAACAACACATGATAGAGTGGAGAGGGATTGAATCTAGTTTTCTTCTGCGACCTAAGTATTTGTTTTGAGAGTCAGTTTCTGATCGTTCTGATGATTAATATTTATTCGTTTGATGAGATTTTGATGTAGATAAATAGAAGAGTGAATTTTACACAAACAAAACGTTATTTCCGATCTCGTTGGAATTAATCACTCATGGAAAGTATCGTTTGGATCCAGTAAACTTTTTCTTTTTTTCATATTCGTAATCAGCACGAATTTCTGATCAAGTGATATGTTACAAAGTGTAGTTGACAGAAAAAATTGTTTTAATACATGACACGATTTAAGATGGTTGTGGAAACCGTTCAGCGTCAGATACAAAAAAATAGAAGTATCTTAGAAGGACGTATATTACTGCGTATTTGATCGAAAATTCGATGCTGATTACGAGTATTGGTTTGGAAAATAAAGAAACAAGTTCCCAATTACCATCAAAAATCAACAAATCGATCGACTTTCCGTTTTCTTTTTTGAATTACTTGAAACTTTTGATAACTGCTTCTGTAGAAAAATTACCACAAATAATGTGCAGTCAAGTGGTATAGTTGCTGCATGACGAAAAAGTCAATCATTATCTCTGAGTTTTAGCAACACCATCAATAACTGAATCACCAGGGATGTCACTTTACTGTTCTTTATCAAATAATAAGTAATACAACATATTAATTATTACCTGGAAATAAGTACTAAATCCTATTACCTCATTACTTGTTACTTTTTCTCAAGTAATCATCTTTTATTACGTTACTTATTACTAATAAGAAGAAAAGTAATAAAAAGTGATAAGTAAAATAATGAAAAATTATTACAAAAAAAAGTCATACGTAATAAAAACAATAAGATTTAGTACCTTTTTATCGGTAATAAGTAAAAAACGCTAATTACTTTTACGGAATAATGTAATAATTAGTAAAAGTAAAGTAGCACCCTTATGAATCGCCCACATGAGATCTGAAATACCTTGTTTTTTTTTGTAGAACGTTTGATACTTTGTCTGTGTTGAAACATGATCAATAGTTAAGTGATTTTCAAAACGAGCTACTTTTTTGATGGGCGAGCTGTTAAAGTGGTTTTAGAGCACCAGAATTGAGGTACCCTAGACTAAGATCCCGAGCTAATATTTATGCGGTAAACAATTGAATAGTCGTTAGAATGTCTTTCTAGAATGTCACAATCTTCTTACTTTAGTTATAATAAATGGCATATCTGGTTTGATATAAATTCCTTTAATAACCAATCCCCACATAAATACCGCACCAAGATAACCATCAGTTAAATAACCAATATACCATGGACCTAAACACATACAATTCTCCTTCTCTTTTCGTTTTCTGAAGTGGAAAAAATACTGCCACTTACCAACAAAAAAATACAGTGTAAATCCGACTAATGAATAAAACGTTAAATCAATCGAACACAAAGCCGTTAATCGTTTATGTAAACAATAACAACAGAGAACTACAGAAAAAAACAAGATATGGTAAAGTTGCACTAGATGAGTGATCCGGATACTTACACAATCGTCGTTTTCTCAGATAATATCGAAACAAAATTAGAGTTAATAAATAGAAACATAAGGATAAAACGAGCAAAGTTCTTGCCTAAACGAATAAAAATCCAGTTTTCTTATACAAATTTTAAACTGAAAAACCTCTGAAAGCTTTCATAGAACTTCCGCCGCTTGATCGAAAGTAAGAAAAAATGTTATACCAAAAACGAAAAACGATTTGCAAAACTAATATGATCGAATTCCATATGGAATTTAGAGTTCGATTATGAATCTTGAACGTTGATGTTTTAGCACCTGAAGGATTTCCTAATCCTAACAATTAAAGTCTACATTTGAGAAATTATCGAAGAAATACTTACAAATGTTGGTTGATGTACAATTAACACTAATTGTGATCGTTTCCACCATTGAGATTTTCGAATTTTTGTTGATAAACTAAATTCTTCTCTCAATTCTTCAGCGTTATTTTCAATGTCCTAAAAACAATAAAGAACAAAATATAAAAAAAGTCAATGTGAAATCTAACAGATAGCTCCACAATCGATTCTAAAACCCATAAAGATCGTCACAATCGTCAAAAAAAGTTTTCAAAAGTGGAAGTACAAGCACTGATGCTCCATTTTACTGGTAAAAGCTGGATAAGCTTTTCACTAACAGATCAACACTTTTCGCACTCTTGTTATAAGTTCTAGGAACGGCAAAAATGGACTCAGCAAAAAAATTTCTCTTCTTGGCAAAAACCGGTCTTTACATTTTCTAACAACTAACTTTCTAAATAATCTGACTGTCTAACCATCGCAAAAAGAAAATCTCAAATCTAATCAGAGTTTCTGCAAGGAAAATAATTAAATTTTAACAGAGACAAAAACCTATCAAAGTTCAGGTTACTTAAAAAAGCTGAACATTTTAACGGGTGTAACAGAAATAAACGCACTTTTTTATTTTCATTATAACTTCGTCGGGTTTCGTCCAATCGACTTAAACTTTTTTTTATTAAATTCATCTTGGAAATCTCTACAAAAATATCTGATAACTAGTTTTCTAACAAGAAAATTGTTAGAGTTATGGAACCAAAAATACGACGACTAAAAATACCAACTTCATAAGGCAAAAAATGATTTTTTTTAAATATCATCGTAACAGTCTAAGATAGGAGAAATTCGAGACGACCATTCCAAAGAGCACAAAATTCTCTACAAAACTGTGGTTTCAAAAAAAAATTAGATAACTCTAGAGCCCGCAATAGCAAGGAGCAATTTTTACATTTTCTAAAAAATCACCATTTTGGAAGCAGATTTTTGCTCGCTCCACGAAAAGTTCCATAACTCAGCCAAAAATCGTGCTTTTTTTAACATTTTTTTAAATTTTGTAGCCCGTAGTGTAATCAGTTCGACAACATCACTTTTGAGAATTTTACGAACTGTTTGCTTACTCTTTTTGACTCAGAAAATCAAAAAACGCGTTTTTTTGGCTCCTTTATAAAACGTTGATTTTTTGAGCTGCCTGTGTTGATGTTAAAAATTTTTGGCATGCACTAGAAAGAGCATACTTTAAAGTAATAGTATCAAGCAGAATCGAAGCCCTCAATTCAGTTACAGTTTGAGAAAATGTCAAAGAAAGTATAAAAAGTATGATTTATGAAGTTGGCGTTTTTAGTCACCCTCGCTTTTTGTTTTATAATTCTAACAGTTGGCATTTTAAAAAACTTGTTAAGAGATATTTTTGTAAACGATTTCATGGCGAATTTTATAAAAAAAAAATTTAAGTCGACCGCATATTATCCGACGAAGATATACCGAAAATGAAAAAGTGCGTTTATTTCTGTTACACCCGTTATATCTAGAATTTTTCCATCAAAAAGGCCCGAAAAATACTTGAAAAATCTAGCAAAATGCTGAAAAACTTTTTCTCATCTCGGATTCAATCAGACCAAATGAAAATTTCAGTAAATCAGTATAGCTCTAGTAAGAAAAAGAGCATGTAACGAGGAACCGATTTAACTGTCAAATTGTTTTGTTATTAATAACCTACTTTGATTTGTACAATCATTTTATGATCTTTGTCATCATCATATTTAGTTGGATTCCATTTCAAAACAAATAACTGTAGATTATCTACTGATTGCACAGCATTACCAATAAAATCTGAATCAATCGTTACATGTACAGTTAAAATTGGATGATGAGAAAATATTAGAATTCTAAAAAAAATTCTTATTTTCTCAATAAAACACAAGAAAAATAGAAGCATAAAACTAACCGAATATGTGTCCTTTGTTTCAATCTTGCTAATGGTTCTCTCACTGTCCTAAATCGTGATTCTTTTGGATGTGTTATAACAGCATAAATTAATTTTTGATTATTAAATTGAAAATCACGAAATGCCAATAGACCACTGTCGATTGTAACAAGACGAAATCTAATTAGATATAAGTAGAATGTTACAAGTCTCATTAACCAATGACCTAATGATCTAGAAAACTGTGAAACTCTTCGCATAAATTCCAGTTAATTGTTTATAGCGTTAGCCAGACGTTCGAACATGAATCAAACTCATTAAGTCTGCTATCAAATATTTTTCACGTATCTTACTCTTTTTATATTTCATATTAGAAAATATTAAAAGACGGAAACAGACTAGCTTACCGTCGATGTTGTTTCCAATCAGCTAATTCTAGTTCGAGTAAGCCCGATGAATGATGAGCATACAAATGAGGAATACCAGCATGCAGATGACCATTCAAATACACAAGACCATTCCTAGAATGTGAAAGTTGTTCTGATGAAAGCTTTGAAGACGATTGTTTGTTTACTTGCTAACAACGGTATCAACAATGTTTAAGATAATTGACTTATGTAATTTTTCTTTCTCTTTGTAGGAAAAGACTATCATTCATTCGTGTGATAAAAATGATGCAAGACAATAGTTACCTCATAATTTTTTCTTGTACCTTCGATGAATATGTAAATGATAATGGATAATGTCCAAAATAAATTGTGACATTTGAATGATGAATTTCCTTGGTTAATTGTTCAAGATGACGCATTTCAGACTGTTATAACAGAAAATATAGAAAATTTAAATGAAAAAGTTCTAGATAGAAAAAAATCAGCAGTTTAAGCTTCATATAGAAGATTCTCGATAGATTTCAGATATACTAACATATTACTAAACGTCAAAAAATAAATTGAACGGTTTCTCAAAACTTCGATTTCATCTTTTCGAATTATCCAATCATTCTTCTATTCCAACTTGAGCTTTGTCTCTAAAATCATTTTTCCACCTCCTTCTCTTTCATACATCAACCAAAAGCCTTTAGCTCATTGGACTATAAGAAACAGTTTCAATGAACAATACATACTTTAGTTAAATGTCCGAAAAAATTCATTGCTATTCCTGGTGCGGGCTTTGGACACATATCAATTCCGACAAACGAGTATTGATCACCGTCCGAAGTTTTCAACGTATATTGATAGGAACTAGAATGGAGTCGACCTTGTTGAGAATATTGTCTAAAAAAAAATTTATTCACAAAATTTAGATTTATGACTCGAAACGAAACGAAACGAATCAAACACATACCGATAAAAACTTTTTGACGATTCTGGTTCCGCATCCATAAATACGTCTGAAATGGCAAACAAAAAGCTCGAGATAAAAAATAACGTTTTCCGCAGTTCATTCAAAAAAAGGTAGGTTTGTGACAGGTGAATGATAAAAGCATGGCTCTAATTTCACTTTTACATGCGAAATACCTCCGTTATCAAATATCACTTTTGACCAGAAATCTGAGACCCATTCTTTGCTAGAATATAGTCAGCATAAAAATGTATTCATGCCAAGACTGAACAATCCATGAATTACCAGTTAGACTTCAAACAGAATAATTCTTATGTAAAAAGTCATTTTTTATGAAAAGTTGATTTTGATAGAAAAAAATCGAAAAAATAATATTGTAAACTCTACATTTTTTGGCGTGAGTGCGAATGTAATATTCGAAAACAGCAGATTTCCCTAAAACCGAACCATTTTATTGCATTTCATTCAGAAGTTATTCGATTTACATAAAAACAAGAAACTGTAGCGCTTTTCCAAAGGAAAATTCAGTGACGCCCACGTTCTTCTAGCGCTTCTGAAACATAAAGAGCCTAGAGACAGGGCAGTGCAAGGGAATATTTCCAGCTGTTCAATCCCGATTTCTTTCAAACATACATCAATTGATAGCCTATATCGAGATGGTAAAAAGCCTAAAAGGATTCATCTCAGCGCTCTTCAGGACCCGGTTTTCCAAAAAACCCTAAAAATATAATCAAAACGTTTCTTAATAAGGCTCGACTGTAGCCCGGAAATTTCTGATTAAAATGAGACGTCTCTCAGCTTTACACGATCTTTCTTTGCAAAGTTATAGAATTTACAAGAAAAGCCCTAAATGTTAATTGGCAGCTCAAAGCTACATAAATAAGACGGAAAAAATTAATTTAGGGCTTTTCTTGTAAATTCTATAACTTTGCAAAGAAAGGTCACGTAGGGCTGGGAGATGTCTCATTTTAATCAGACATTTCCGGACTATAATTATGCCTTGCTAAGAAAGGCTTTGGTTATTTTTTTAGAGTTTCTGTAAAATTGGATCTTCAAGAGCACTGGGATGACTCCTTTTAGGCTTTTTACTATCTCGATATGGGCTATCGAGCGATTGATGTATGTTTGGAAGAAATCGGGGTTGGACAACTGGGAATGTTCCCTCGTCAGATATTTATTTTAAAAAAATAACGCTATATGCATTAAATTTATCTACGGAATCACTAACTCTTATTTTTGAATAAACACTGAAACGTACCATGATTTCCTCTAATATCTAACCATTTTGTATGCTGTGTAACATTTGTTTCTAGTAAAACTTGTTGATAACGAATCCATTCCGATTCATATTGACGAGAATCAAACGTGCGATCAAGATTATGAACAAGATCACCTAAACAAATGAACGATAAAAGACAATGAATTAAAAATAATTGCATGAGTTTTTCCTTGGACATATTAAAGTGTACAAGTTTTCATGATGTACTCTGCCAGCAGAAGAAATAGCATTGCTAACGAAGGATAAACATCGACGTTTTATTTAAAATCTGTCTCATTGACATTTTGCCTATAGAAATAGTCTGAAAAGAGTGACAGAAAAACTAGTTACCTGAAGCAATGACAACCGCTGGCTTAATTAGTTTGATAATAATTTCATTGATAAATTGTTTAAAATCACTCAATCGTGTTTCATGACCATAATGGGAAATGTGAAGATCCGTTACCTGAAACAGTCAGAAACCAAAAACATAGCGTGAAACAGAGATGTTTACTTTAAATTGGTATTTTAACTATTAGGCTTCTGCTTTCGCCTCGATGCTGAAATTTTCATCAAAAAAGAGAATTACTTTTGAAGTTTTCTCTTACCTGTACGAACCAAAATAAATGCTTGGCTGTAGAATCAAGAAATTCATCTTGTTGTTGCCAAGATAAATCGATTAATGTTAAGATTAAGAGTATCAAAGTAAAAGTATTGAAAACCCATTTTAAGAGAATCATTTAAGGCGACTAAGATGTAAGTGGAACATTACAATTTGCATTCTAAGATAAAAAGAAGAAAAATGCGAAAGGAGAATTTTCTAGTTTTTCTACATTCTTTTGACTGTTTTTGACAGTAACTAGAGATAATATAAGGAATAGTCAACAGAATTGTATTTCCAAACCTTCAACGTGTATAGCAATAAAAGATTAAATAAAGACAATCCGGGAAGCCACTGTGTTATTTCAGTCATGATTTGCCGAAATCTCAAGTCATTCCATTGTCCATAGATGCTGCATTTCTCTGGAGCGTTGGGGACATTTTTTTAACTCGTATTTCATACTTTTTACATAGCAGAGTTGCTACAACTTCCAGTCAGAGCGCCAAGCCTAAAATGCATAATAGAATAACGTTGTCCTCAATTCAAAATCTTAAATTTTGCCCACATTATGTCTGAAAGAACGTATCTCAATCAGAGAACTTATCTCTAAAATATTTTCCCTAAAATACTTTTAGCCGTAAATAACAATCGCTAATAACGGCCAAAAGAATGATTGGTTAAAATTTTGCCGTAAATAAGAAAATTCAGAAATTCATGAAATCAAGAAGATTTTTCGAAACAGTGAACGAAATTAAAGTGCAAATAGGCTATATAATACTTTAATTTTCCAAAATAAACTGAAATTTTTTGAAAGAAAATGATTGGCAGAATTTTTAATACGGTATTCTATGGATTCCTCTATGGATTTCCGCCATTGTAGCAGCAAGAAAGACCAGCAGTGGTGAAACTTGGTGAATATAGGTAATCCGTCACGGGGAATCTGTCGATACCCCCGGCAGATCTTCAGAAGGTCTCCAGAAAACCCATGGGGTCTCAGCCTATTTATGAATTGTTTTCGAGGAGAAATATTGGTTGATCACAGCGGCAAGGGATTCGCAGATGCCCCAAAACCTATTTGAAATAGTTTTGCGATCTGAGATAGATGGTGCTACAACCTACGTACCAATTTCAGAATCATTGATAGACTGGAAGTTTTTCTAAAAACGTTTTCACAGCAATGAGAGACTGTTAGCACATTTGACGAAGTGTACTCCAGAGTATATCCAGATTAGTTGTAAGCCTCATGGTGAGACATACATATGATAGCCAGACCGTATGATACTGCAGTAAATTACTCTTTCTGCTGGAGTACTTCATTATTTACCAGCAAAGTTTTAGTTTCATTTGATACTGATTTCTGTTTACGATCAGTGTTCATCTAGTAGAAAGTGTTTATCTAGTTTGCGAGTTGAATTCTCGAAATGATGTATCTAGCATATTTTTAACGAGAGTCTCTGATCATTTGAAGATTGGACTTATGCATTATCGAAGACATCTCATCGAAACAATTTTATGTTGGCTGTAATATCAACGATATACATGTTAATGAATTTCAAGGACTCAGATTTGGAAATATTAAACCAAAATTATTCGATAATGACAGTATGTATTGTATTTTAAAATAGAGTATCTTATCTCTCTCAACTTTCTCATTCTAGATAATACTTTAAATTCATCGACTACTGCTAAAGTTCCAGTGTATGCTCGTATTGATTTTCCAAAAGGATCTAAACCACCACATGTTCAATTAAATATTAAAGATCGTGAAATACAAATAAGTAAACATTCCATTGATATTTTATTGGATACACTCGAAGAAATAAAACCAATAAGTATATAGCAATAATAAGTGATAGCAATCCTAGTTCAAAATGGCGGCGGCAACTTTACCAACAATGAACACATGTCGACCATCTCATCGTTATTTTATCAGTGAAGTACATGTTAATTTTGAAAAAAAGTATGTTTTAATCAGTATGAATATTTAAAGCAAGTTTTTTGTGCGTTTTTCTTCAGAAAACTGTTTAGCTTAGGCTATTGGAAGAAAGCCAATATTGATTTCGAAAAAATTTCTGCAATGGTATTGCGGTCGGTGGAACATCACAATTCTATTGAAGGTGATACAGTAAGTTAGGTGCTTGGTTTTTGTTTTCTCAATACGAATTTCAATTTTTCTTTTCCTGTAGTTATTTTATTTGGATGAAACACATAGAAAGATTCCACTGAAAATAACAAAGATAAAGTGTGAGCATGTATTTCATTATAATTAAACAACTATCCTAATGTTTATCGTTATGATGGTATGATGTCTATTTTTTTAGATGAAAATATGAAACCGAATGAGTTGGCACATACACAAATTATATTTAATAAAAATCAACAAAAAATTACCACAATTAACAGTAACGCAGTATTAGAAAATCAATTACCATCATTCGTTACCTCAACAACAGATTTTATCGCAGAAGAACACGAGAAGCATTTAGTTGAGAAACTGAAAAGGGAAATACTGAGCAACTATCAAAAAGTCTCATGGTAAGTCAAAGATAAAAATGGATAATTTCTCCTGGGTGACATATGCACAGGATTTCACCGAGGAAAAAGAAATTTTTTTACAGCAAAGAGAAAGTGTTATTCTTGCTTACTTTTGAGTAAACTATAGTTTTTCAGGGACGATATAGCTGGTTGTGAATTAGCAAAAAAAGTGATTACAGAAGTAGTTGTGTTACCTACGATATTTCCTGAATTTTTTCAAGGAATAAGACGTCCTTGGAAGGTAAGATTATAACTGTTGATTGATTAAGTACGTTAGAATTATGAGCATCTACTCTTTTAGAGCATTTTAGTATATGGACCTCCTGGCACAGGTTAGTTTATGTGACTGTTTTTTGCTTTTTGTATACCGTTGTTTGTTTAGGAAAAACAATGTTGGCAAAAGCTGTTGCAAGTGCCACCAAAAAAACTTTTTTTAATATAACACCTTCAACATTATTATCCAAATGGCATGGTGAAAGTGAAATATTGGTTCATCTATTGTTTAAAATGGCAACACATTATGCACCATCTATTATCTTTATCGATGAAATTGATTCACTGTGTTTAAATCGCAACATATCAGAAGATGAAGCAAGTCTGCGCTTCAAGTCTGAACTCTTAGTTCAGATGGATGGCATGTCTTGCACATTAGGTGAGTTTTCATATAATGAACAAAACAAGAGCGAAACCGTGATGTTTCTTTTATAGGTAACAGTAATCAAACAAAAACAGTTCTGGTTATGGGTGCCTCAAATCGTCCCTGGTCAATTGATGATGCATTTTTAAGACGTTTCGAAAAACGAATTTACATACCATTACCAGATAAAGATACCAGAAGACAATTGTTAGCGGTGAATTTAAAAGATGTACCACTCGACGAAGATGTTAAATTAGACGTTATATCTGAACACTTATGCGGATATTCTGGATCAGATATCTGTAATGTTTGTCGGTATGAAAGCTTTTATTATTAGTTTTGGCTCTCTCTGTGATTCTCTCTTTCTTATTAGCGATGCGGCGCTGATGATTATTCGGGAGCTTACTGGCAATTTAACTATCACAGAAATTCAACAAAATGCTAATTCAATTCGTCCTCAACTACAACAGTCACTGAAACAACAACATTTCATTGATGCAATGGAAAAGATTAAACCAAGTACCGTTGAAAATATTGATCGTTACGAAATTTGGTCATGTCAATATGGGTCTCTGTGATATGTAAGTTGCTCTATTTTAGAACAATTCCATACGAACAGATTAAAAGTAGTTTGAAGTCTTTCTCCTATTTCCTCTTAACATGTTTTTAACTGTTTTCTTTAGACATTTGAACATAAAATGAAGCTGTAAATTCGCGAATCTTTCTCATCGTTGCTGTCAATCATAAAACTTCGTCTACAATCGTTAATTTACGCCACATATTCAAAAGTATGCTTGTTTCTGATTTTTTATCATGTACATAATCTTGTTTTTATCATTTTGTAGACTTCATTCATATCAGATATAATGAATAGTGGAATGATGATATATATTGATCCAGAAGGAATCGAAGAGTGCTATAATTTTGATTTTATATAGTATGTACCCAAACAATCAAAAGTTATTTACATCAAATATTCTCTGGTAAGGGTTACACAACAAGTGAGAAAAAAGCGCTTATATGAATCTGTTTGTTTTATTGAAGAGATTACACAATATAATATTCGATCCATCAAATGTAATTTGGCTGAAACTCATCGAGAAAAATGTACAGGTATGAATGCAATCTCTCTTTCACTCCTCTGTTTACCATAGCGTTATCTAGAAAGTGCACTCTCATTCCGAGAAGGTATAGCAACTGTTAATATATCTACTTTTATGCTTCTTTCGTACTATACGATCAATTGTAATCAAGTAATCAGATCTATCTCACAATTAAAACGAGAGATGAGAAGGTTGAGCAAGTCTTTAGTTGTATTGATAAAGAAACTTATTTTATACTGTTTCTGTTTTCTTTCAAAGCTTTGTCGATAGGTTACCGTTTATTACAAATATTCTGGAGTCTTTGTTTGGTGAGCGAACAATAACACTAATTTACAAAGAGTTCTATTATATATTATTTTCTATCTTGTTTAGCTTATACAATTGATCTATGTAAACGATATGAAACAACCAATATTGGCTTAAAATGTCGATTACAACAACTATTTTCATACGAAATACCCATTACATTTTATCATCTAAAACGTATTGCATTCCAATATTTAATTGATGTACTATTGAAAAATATTGAAATTGAATCAGTTGAACTATGGTAACAAGAATCATATGGATATACAAGAGAGATCTGAGCTGTTTTCAGCTACGTTGATAGATAGAATAGATATAGAGAAATATTTGTTGAAAGTTTGAGCTCTATTAGAAGGGTGGAAAATGAGTGGAGATCTATTAAACTAAAGAGATCATTTTCGAAAACATTGTTGGTATGGAAAAAACAGGTTTCTTTTCCATCACATTAGAATAATAGTCAGTTATTTGTCAGAAATGTAGCAAAATCATCAAACTTTTATCTTAAGACTTACATGAAAGAAACTTAATTTTTATCATTCATAATGTTTCTTGGTTTTTTTCCTACCCTAAGTCCACCCTATCATTTCAATTGAAATAAAAAAATTTTATCTATAGGGAAAGAAGACGACCCTGAATTTTTGCTTTATTTGTATAGAAGAAAATAAAAAAAGAGTGCGCTGTTTTTTTTTGCTAAGCGTTCACTGTGTCCGTTTATACATATCTCACAACACTTTTTTTTCCGTTTAGTTGTTGATCTAGTAACAGCATCGGCTCCTATCATAGCTAGTAGTGCTAAATTAGAACCAGCAGGTCAACCTGTTCCACCTTTGCCAGGTATATCTATAACTATTTCGTTGTTCAACGAATCAACAATACCCCTTGCTACTATCAATTTGATAAAAGGTTTTAATTTATTAAGTCAAAAATGATCAAAAATTGAAGAAATTATGCAAAAAGGTTTAGATACATTGAAAACACGTGCATCGACATAATCATCACTATTTAGTTCAGCTGGCAGTGATTTAGACGATACATCATCACAATGGGATCATTTATCCGATGATTTGGATGCTGATTTAGAATCAAATTTTGGTGATGGAAATGGTGATTTACAACAAGAGGCGGCTAGAATTGATCTCGATGATGATTCGAATTGTTTAAAACGCATGGGTACGCTTACTGGATTAACAAATTGAATATTTTTATAGTTTTTCCAGTTGATACTATTGAAGCGAAAGTGTTTATCTAGTTTGCGAGTTGAATTCTCGAAATGATGTATCTAGCATATTTTTAACGAGAGTCTCTGATCATTTGAAGATTGGACTTATGCATTATCGAAGACATCTCATCGAAACAATTTTATGTTGGCTGTAATATCAACGATATACATGTTAATGAATTTCAAGGACTCAGATTTGGAAATATTAAACCAAAATTATTCGATAATGACAGTATGTATTGTATTTTAAAATAGAGTATCTTATCTCTCTCAACTTTCTCATTCTAGATAATACTTTAAATTCATCGACTACTGCTAAAGTTCCAGTGTATGCTCGTATTGATTTTCCGAAAGGATCTAAACCACCACATGTTCAATTAAATATTAAAGATCGTGAAATACAAATAAGTAAACAGTCCATTGATATTTTATTGGATACACTCGAAGAAATAAAACCAATAAGTGATAAAATTGAAGAACGGGAGCATTCAAATATGGTAGCTATTGATGTACAAATAAAAAATTTGAATATTTTACGTGAAGTATATGTGTAAAAAAAGTAGATTTAGATCTGTTTTTGTACTGTTTTTTTTTATCTCAGGTAATTGATCGGACCGTTGGATCAGTTATTAGTTCAAAACCACCACTGAATATTAAAATTGAATAGATGTATGCTAAAAGACTCAAAAATGAGCAGATAGTTATGGAGAGAAAAACAGATAATGATACACAATTAAATGGTATGCAGAGTAGTTTATATCCTCATGAATTTAATCAAACGTTGAATTTTTTATGGGTTTAGATCTTTCTGTACGATGAAGATTATTGTGTATAACGTTTTCACTCTCTGTTCTAGTTCAATCAAATCAACAAACTATCGTTGTGAATAATGAATTGCATGAAAAATTAAAGCAATACGAATTAGTTGATCTTGAAAATGATCGTTTACAAACAGAATTAGATGCTCAGAAACAAGAGATAATTGCATTAAGACAACGTGATGCTCTATTGATAACCATATCAAAATCAGATGTTGATTCCATGATCTGTGATAAATTAGTCCATACGATTTTTATATTCCACTTTTGTGTGTATTTTCTCATATTTACAACATATTTCATAATCTCTTTTTAAAATGGTGTTTGAGATTTAAAAACCAAAAAGACAAATGATCTAGCAATCAACAAAGGATTTTTCTTCAATTTTTAATCTAACTTCAGTCATTACTACAGATATTATTTAGATAAAATTGTATTGTTATCTTATAGAAGAATGATACATTTTTGTTGTTATAAACAACAAACAGTGATTAGATGATTGTTATAAATCTTTTTCTCTCAATCTCTAATGTAGTTCTAAATTTTTTCTTTATTTTATTTACTTATCACTTGCGATTTCTACGACACGTAATGACATCGAACTTTTATTTTCTCATATAAAACTTAATTTTGATTTTCATATTTATTCGTGATTTTTGACATTTTTTCTGCAATAAGTAGTGCATCTACATACATGTATACAGCTTTATTTTTATGTGAATGTTATTATTGTGTTATCGTTGTTATAAGCAGATAATTCTATATCGTGACCTCTTCATTTTCTCATACTTTATTCTGATATATTTTATACTCTGATTTTTATCTTTTGGGCGGGTTTTTGTAGAAAGAAATAAAGTTGGGAGTTAGTTGTATGATACTAAGCTGTGTTATCAAACATTGCAGAGTATGATCTGACCATTACGGCAAGCATTGGCCTGGGATTCTACACAATTTTAGAAAAAAAAGTTTATTTATTAAAAAACTATGAACTAATTCTCAAATCAAAACACATCTGAGAATGTTAAAAAAAGATCTTGCGTTTCTTTGGCAAGAAAGTGCCACTTTTTTTCTTGAATTTCTTGGAGACAAGATCCTGTCTCCAGAAATTCAAGAAATTTAATTTCTTGTTCCAAAAAATATAAAATCATATTTCTTGCCCCAAGAAGTATAAGCAGTGCAAGAAATTTAACTTCTTGCCCAAGAAATCAGATTTCTTGCCTCAAAGAACGTGAATTTTGAAGAAAATTTATTAGGATGTCACCGGAATAAACAGTTCAGTAGTGCAGATATCGTGTGCATCTGAAGTGCATCGAATCAGCAAAAGAAGTTGTTTATTCATTACACACAAAAAGAGATTAATAGGATTTACATTAAAATTATTAATGGGTTAGTTAGTTTAAATGTATATGTTCTATCCGAATACGACACCTGAATGTGAACCTGATATATTCTATCCGAATTCTAATATCATTTTATTTATCCAAGATGTTTAAGCTTAGTTAAAGCAACAGGTTCTCGAAATCTACTTTTCATAGTTACTGTTGGTTTTCATTCTTCAACTTAGTGGCGTAGCCAGGATATTTTTCTTTTGCGTTCTGCGCTGTGCTTCGTGGGCAATTGCCCATAAAACACAGCGGAGAACGCAAGAGAAAAATATCCTGGCTACGCCACTGCTTCAACTAGAAAAGTAAGAGACATTTCTCAAAGACATGCGCGCACAAAAAGAGAGTTCAAATACTCCCATATGTGGAATATACACCATAATTACAGACGGTAAAACCTGAGTAAAACTTGATCTATTTGTGGAAAAGCCATGATGAGTGGTAGCCCAGACATTTTTGAGTATACGTTGTCTCAGAATTATCCATCAATTCCGTACTTCGGATAGCAAAAAAAAGCTTTTTTCTAAAAGCAACTCTACTCACTTTTATCGAATACTTCGCAGGGTTCTTGTATGGAAGTCTCAGATTTTTTTATATGCCTGAATAGAGAAAAATATAACAAATCTAATAGTAAAATTCTTTTGCAGTTTGGTCCAGAAATGACTGTGTCGTGAGCGGAAAATTGAAGCCATATAAACATATATTCTTTTCTTCACAACACTATATAACATAACGGAATAAGAAAGAATACAAAATCACTACTTTTCGCAACTCTATTACTGGTATCCTTGGTATATAGATGGCAGGAAAATTTTTCTTTTTCGTAAACCTGTAAAGGTCCGCTTTGTTTCTTGTAGTTCTGGTCTTGAGATTGGACAGAACACCTTCTCTTATGCTCACCCTTCAAGTTCCATGCACTTTGGTTGAGAAATGAAGGTGCTAGAAGGCTTTCAAAAACTGAAAACTGGTGAAAAATTCGATCTGAAAAACTGAAAACCGCATGTCTCTATCACTTTCGCTTCGAAAGTTATAAGCGATCTACCCACGCGCATTTTATTTAGGAATTGAGTACATGGAAGAACTTCGAGAAGTTTGAAATTGAATTTGTTTTAGAAATAACAATCAAAATCTTTATAGAAGTTCAATAAACCGTTAGCATAATTCCTATGACTAGTAGAGAAGAATTACAGAAAACGAGAGACAGAAAAAGCTTACTTACAAATAAAACTGCTGTGTATTCATTTTAACCTAGAAGCGAGTCTGAGGTGAATGATTCACTTTGATTGCATTATGTTCCTGAAGATGAAACCGGGTAAAACATGATGAAATCAGTATGTCAATTACCTTAAGAAATACTTTATTTTCGAGAGATCTCGAATCAAATTTTATTCTTTTTTTTAAAGATCGCTACTTAAAAATTCATATCAGAGTGATATCAGAGAAATATCGTATCATACTTCACTCAACATCTTTCCACGCTTTTCGTGGTGATATTACTTCTTTTTTTGAATCTGAAAGACGTAGTACCGTGATAATAGTACTAGCATTGTTAATGTTGAATTTCAGGAACTCCTCAGCAGCATAAAGTGTAACATCATATGGATTTGTTTCTGTATAAACCCATTGATTTGTACCTTCTACTTTTTTAATGATTTGTATCCGATCGGCTTCATTCGTAATTAAAAGTTGCCCAATCGGCTCATAATAGACAGTAACAGTGTCGTCCACTGTTGTTAAAACATTTTTGAAACATGTTGCTGCTTGTGACATGCAAAACATATACGTCGGAGGTAAAGATTCAATGTCAAAACTGTTAGGTTTAATACATAAATCTTTGCCAGTTTTGTGACATTTTGAACACTCATTATTCGTTCGAACTTTTAATAATTGCAAATCATGAGTGTAAACTTCTTTCAATAAAAAGATATTTTCACAATCATGAATGCAATTCGTTTCATCACAATATGAACAGTCAAAAACCACAGAGACCTAAAGAAAAGAGAATGTAATAAATACTACTGTTAGTAGAGCAGATTGAAATAGTGCTTTCGTTTCTTTCCCATCTAGATGGGAAAGAAACGAAAGCACTATTTCAATCTGCTCTATTGAAAATTGTGAAATGTAGATGTGAACTCACCTTCAATGTTAAATCATTAGCTATTTTCGGATATAATCGTTTGATTGTTACAACGAATTCATTAAAACTGTAATCCCGATGTCGATTCAAATCTAACAAACTCCGTTCGTCGAGAATAGCCAGAATCGCATTCGTAAAATCGACCCCCTCTACATTCACTTTCTGATATATAATGAATAACGACGATTGTAAATACTGTTTAATATTTCTCTTGTCCAACACAAACATGTTGTTTCTTTCTATACAATGATACTTCTTATCATTACAATAAAACATGGCGCCGTATTCATCGAGGGCTTTCATATATACACATGATGCTAGACGATACAACGAGTAATATTGTACAGTTACGATATCCTCATCCAAAAAATTCTTGAAATTGATCATTTCCACATATGAAACGTTTTCTTGCTGTGAATTTTGTTGTTTGTAGACAAAAAACACTTGTGGGCAATATGTGATACGTAAGGATAGAACTTTTAGTAAATCATTTCGATCGCACCTGGTGCATGGATCATTATTATTACAGGACAATAGCATCTGTTCTATTACTTTTTCTGTGTTGTACGCATTTTTCCATTGTAATACAATTATGTCATGAAATATCAACATGTTTGATTCATGTTCACAAGATTGACAAACTAGTCGAAATAATGATGCAACGGTTACATTGGTACCTAAAATTGGGTACACACATTCTTTGAGAAATTTTAATGCTGGCATTTTGATTATTCTTGCACAGTTTTGACTACTTCCAGATGTTAGTAAAGCATCATTTTTGATTACTTCGTTCGTCACATATTGTAGTACGGTATCAATATTCTTTTCTGTGAGTTTTTTCTTCCCCTTGATGGCTTCAAGTAACAATGTACGTAACGCGTTATGATGATTAGACAAACGAGATTCGTTTTGAGAAATATCAACTTGTAAATGACGTGAATAGACAATTGATTGTAACAGGGCATTTGCGAACGTGTTTTGATTTTTATTGTTTTTCCATGCTGTTAATTGCTTTTCATTAGCATACATTGGTAATTCTGGTTTGAGGAAAATATTTTCCATTTGTTTTAAATCTACTTCCTTTGGTTTTTGGTAATGCCTACAAAAGTAGTAAGATACATCACCAGTTGATGAATACATTCTTAGGTAAATGGATCGCATACCCGTGTCTTTTTTTGCTCCAACGTTCTTGCACAGTATGCCAGTTTTTGGACATGGCGTTAAACATTTGCAAACCAGCATTTTTTTGAATTCCCACTGTATATTTGCAAATATTGTCAACAACAAGGTCGAGTCTTTTGTAGATTTTTTTGTTTAACTCGATGTTTTTCACAAACCACATTCTTTTTTCACTTGAGCCGGTGGTACGTTGTATTTTATCGACAATATCACTTTCATTTATTGATGAACCTTCACGATACCGTTGTAAATCTCCTAAAACATGAAATGGTTCATTCATTGGAGAGAATACAATCTTCTAATCTACAAAATAAGTTGCTTTACCTAAGAGTATATTTGACCATAAGTGCACAGTTGCGACATAGAGTTTGTTGAATCGACAAATGAAACGTTCATACGAATTCAATTCTGGTTCGACTTCACTGTCATCTTTCTCAGCTTTCTTGCCCTTTTTTGTTTTCAGTATTGACAATCGTTCTTTATTGGCAGTCCGACAAACGCCACTGAAAATTTTTGTCATATCTGTTTTAATCGATGATTCAAACTCATTTAATGCAGCTTCTTCACTTAGCCAGGTACACATTTTTTCGCCTTGTGGTTTTTTCTTCAAATTTGAATCCGATGAAACAAAATCAATATTATCAATGTCATATTGATCTTGTGTTCGAAAATTAAAAAATTGCTCATCCATAATCAGTGCGTTAGTGTCGAGCATATTTGTTTTGATGAGCTCACGTACTCCATTTGTTAACGCTTCGGTTGTCGTTCTCCATTGAGGTGTGTCACGTGAAAACAGAAAATATCCACAAAATAAAAGATAGTTATTTTTAAGATTAATATAGGTAAATGAATTCAGTAATAATGAGCAGTAGAACATTACACGTTTAACTTCATCATCTGGGATTTTACACATTCGAACCAATATTTTGAAATCACGCATGATGTGTGCACAACAGGCATGCGGGATTGTCTTTCTAATATCTTCACTCATAAATGTTCCTAAAATAAATAGTGTAAAAATTTTAAATCAACATTTGTTTTAATGAAATGTATAGTGCTCACCATTCAAAATACGATAGCACCTTTCATTAAAAGTTTTAAAATCTTCTTTAGTAAAAAATTGTAATCCGGCTTGGATCAATACTTGTGCCCTATCATTCAACAAATATCTAGGGGACGGAAAATCTTTATCATACCCAAATTTTTTTCCATATAAACTTTTCATTTTTCCAAGCCAGTAAAGAATTGTGACAACATCATGAGCTTCTGAAATCATAAACGTTATTGGTATGATAGTTCCGCCTTTAACTGGGTGAGCCAGGCTCATTTCGTAGTACAACATTCGTTTTTGAATATCATTGGCTTGAATGATGCTGCCCGTGGCATCCCAACTAATCTCACTTTCGGCATCAATTTTATCCCAAACCAAAAGCGCGGTTGCATTAACGCATATAACCAAACATGGTTCATGGCTTATTACCTTAAGAGATAGGCTTCCTACAATATTTATTCCAGCAAGTATTAAAATTGTTTGTTACTTGAATGATCCCTGGCACTTGGTCATTCGGCATCAACTCTTTTTCGTATTTTCTTTTTAAATTTCCAAGTCGCTGAATGCAGTTGCAAATGCTTTCTTTTTTATCGAATGCAGCTATTTTTTGATATAGATTCGCTGATGTGCCGACACCGTCCAGATTTCTTGCATTTAACACATCGTTTGGCACTGATAACAGTTTTCGTTCAAAGAGTCCGGTAGAGCTAACACCCATAGCTAATTCATCATGCAGTAATTTTTTTTCATCTTCACGTATTGGTCTTGATTTGAATGAACCACCTGAGTGAATAATTGATCCTTCGCATTTAATAGACAAATCACCGGTTTTTTGAAGTCTGGCATTGAATTTAAATGGACATGTAGGCTGAAAAGCACACTTTCCGGTACTCTTCAGCAATACGTTACCAGTATTCCGGACGCGAGCTTGAGAAAATCGATTTTCTTTGATTCGAATACTACAATAGGGATTAATTTTCTTTATATATTTTACCATAATGTTTGAAATTGTAAAATCGCGAGCATCGTGTTTAGATCTTTTTTGACCAGCATCATGCATCACTTTTTTTTGTTCGATTACTTTCAAATCAGCTTGTTCAATTTTCAGATCATGACACTTAGCTATTGCACGTTTGAAAGAATGAGAGAGATCGACACCGAGTAGATTCGAGCCAGTCTCTCTTGTTAATAGGGATCCATAACGACGTAAAGTGGCATAATCATGTTCATGATCATTCAGATTTGACATTCGGTTTATGTGAATTCTTTTCGTCGCACAGTCCGAGTCATCCGAATCATCAGATTCTGATTCTAGAAGTGAAAAAGCAACATAATGCATTCCATTGTTGTATGTCTGTTCAGTGTGTTCTCCTTATTTTCTGAACATGTAGATAAAAAACTACGAACTTTTGCTGCCAGTTGGGCTGACACAATCGTCATGCAAACAAGTGGTATAAACAATATGATCTACTATATTATCTAAATGAAGTGTCTATTCAGTTGAACAAAGAGCAGTAAACAGCATTATACCTTTTATTATTTCTTCAGGAAGACTTGTTACCGTACGAGGTTCACGAACAGTATCATCAATTATATTATCTAAAAAGCGTGTTTGTTTAGAAATAATTTTTACCTACTCAATGACACACCTTCTATACTGATAATATCATTTTCGAGAAAATTTGGTTCCATAATATTGTCACAATCTTGTTCGTAGCACAGAATATAAGCATTTGAGCCTGCTTTACCAGTACGATCATCAACGGATTTATCAGCATTTAAAACATCGAATAAGTTAACGTTGGTTACCAATTCGTCATTAATGCATTTCCAAGAATTATTACTTTTAACATATGAATAGTAGTGTCCATTTGCTACTGATTCTCCTTGATGCATAATAATTCCATACAGTTTATATCGTGTACAAGTGGATGATAATGACGATTCTGAAGTATTTTCATTTTGTAAGACGTAATCTTTTATATCAATAGTTTCCGTATAATTCATTAGAGTGCAAATTTTTGAGTTATCAGAGCGAAAACGTTTTAACTGAATTAACAAATTCCTTGGTGGACGTTCGAAAAACGTATTCTTGTACTTATGTTTTTGACTGCATGGTTTTTGACAATCGGCTACAACTAATTCATTTTTTGCACAAACGATCTAATGCATTCATTGATTGATGATTGTTCCAAAGGAATTCGTAAAATTGAGTGTTCTTCTAGCTTCTGTGTGATAACATTACATTTATCGCACCGTAGTTGTTCGATTAGCTTGAAACCAAAACCGTATGATATGAGTGACGGCCAATAGAATGAATCTTTATTTTCTCGTATAATTTTTTGGTAACGACTATAACAAAATCTACATGATACTGTGCATTCATCCATTGTGTTAAATGCCTGTGTTAAAAATTCTTCCGCATCTTGTTGTACGCCAACAACGTATTGGTCATCAATATAATGCAATCTGTTGATTAAACGAGTTGGATTAACGTAACCATTGAAAGGCGAACGAATATCATTCATTGTTTGACCGAGTTCACATTGAAGACACCAATCTGAAATCAAGAGGAAGTTTCTGCTTTTTTGTAGACCGTAACAGTTCTATAATACAATGATTGAAATCCACCACCAAGCGTACGTACCTAATTGCAGCAAGTAATTAACGTTATAATTTGCCCATAGCATTCTTGTAAATTTTGTGCTGGCCAGAACTTGTATTGATGCGTTTGCATAGCATGTGTTTCCCAAATTTTGTAATCCGCGATGATATTCACGGTTCCCAACGAAATCTATAAATGTGAAGCGAATTCGTCAAAAGACGTGTCTTATAGCTATATACATCTTCTCTTACTTGTTGGTCGCGTAACTATTTCGATTGTACTTCTGCACCGCGTATCCGCTGCCGATATATCTAGAATGTTCGTAGAAAACAATCGTATCGTACTGGTAGCAATAGGTTCATACCTTTGTTTTTTAGTGGTTTCAGTTTTTTTGCTAATAAATCAATATTTGAATCGGTTCCATCATCTGTAAAGATGTCTTGAATTACATTTTGAAGTGTCATACTGATGTTCCGTTAAAATTTATTTTCCAGATCCAATGAAATAGTTTAAATATAACATCTAGGGAGGTTCACAAGTTACATCGTATGATCATAGATACATTTTAACTATTTAAGAATCATCTCAATTCAAGTTAAAAAGGTTGAAAGCTGTGTATGAATTATTTTGTAAAGCTACTGACTTATAAATTGCTACTATACCTTTTCTTTTCTTGACTCCTTCACGTATCTTATTCATAGTCAATTCACTAACTGTTTCAGTACAAGTTGATATGTTGCTCATATTTTCATTAATTATGGTACTATTTGTGTTTGTTTTTGATTGATAGTATGAACATGATTCATCAGCAGGAAACAAGTTTTCATCTACTGCATAAATAGAGCAAAAACCTTATCGATCGTTAATGTTATACTTTCTCTCTCTTACATACTTTTGTTTGTAATGTTCGATAGTATGCCTCGTGATTTAATTGTACTTTGTGGATTCATTTCACTATAAGTCTGTAATTCTTCTTCCACATCCAAATTTTCGTCTATAATTGAAAAATTGCTAAAGTTAGAAGTAAATAAGAAAAACAAAATTAGATTCGGACTGTTGATCGTAATCACTAGTTCACCGAAAACGATCATATAGTTTTGAATGAGTTACAGTACATTCTGATTGTTTTTGTTCTATCAATGCAGCATCTTCTGTTCGAGGAATCACGTCTAAAATAATATTTGTGTTCTGTAACAGAAAAACAATTAATTTAACATGTATCATATTTTTGCGTAAAACGTATATACTTTGCTTGTTGTTGTGCTTTTTATCTGTCGAATCGGTGCAGCAGAGTTAACTGTCGATTGGTCACTCAAGCTGTTTTTGTTATCAAAATCAACAATGTCTAGTCCCAACGATTTCAATAATCGTGTTGGTGCTTTTGTATGATGAAACTTGTTGTGCTGATCCATACAACAAATATGTATCCGCTGATAACAATTGTCTTTGTTACAAACATAGTAGTCTGTTGTATCAGTTAGTATAGAAATACGACAATCACAACGTAATCGAATTAAATAAAGCGCATTTCTACATCGATCTTGATCACAAATCAATTGATTACAACTCGGTAACCGTTCGAAACGCGTATTTCTTTCCATTTGATTAATGAACGATTTTACTTCATCTAATTGAAAACCGTATGAGAAAATATTCTTGTTGGTATCTCCAAACTTCAACAACGATAATATTCCGTAGGCTACTGCTATATATGCATCAGCATCATTTTCAATCGTATGTTGCAGAACCGGTTCTACTTCAAATGTATAATAAGTGTAGCCGTAGGCTTTAGCATTAATATACGTTGATAATAACTGAAATAATTGCTTTGTTATTCCTTGATAATTTATGTCCATTATCGAAAAATTACGAAACGATTTGAAATTTGACACTGTTAACCAGTGACGTCCATCATGTATGATTAGAATAGTGCGACAGTTTTGTTTCAATATCATTTTTATCGTTTCGTTCAAATGCTTATCGTATAAACAATGCATTTGAACTGCTGCACACTGCATTATACGAAGTGCTTCTTTAATCAATGCAACGGAAGGCATCGTTGGCTTTTGCTGTGGATCATTTTCAATCAAATTCAATGTATCGTAAACTTCTTCATTGCTACATACACTGCTCTCATCTACAGAAAAAATATAGTACATATGTTAAATCATCAGTCAAAAATCTTTGAAATATCTGCCGTACCCAATCCATTACTTTTGTTAAGCATTTTTTCTTTTCGACTGGCAGAAATATCTTTTGATTCCACTTTTGTTGTAAACGCTTGCGATTGCAACTTGTTTTCGTTCGAAGTTTTATCTGACATTGCTCGTTGTTCAATTATTATTTCGTTTTTTTGATATTGATCCTGCGATGTAGATTAAGTTATTAGATACTGATAGGTAAGTCTAATAGACACATTTTTTTTACATTTTTACCTGGTACATTTCTGTGGTACTTGGAACTAAAACTTACCGTGTCTGAATTTGTACATTGAAGGATAATACAGGATGATGGTGGTACACTTTTCTGTTGAAAACTTGTTGTTTTTATCATTGCTGGAGGTTTCACAAGTGGACCTGAGAATTGTGATGGCACTATTCGTATCGAATAATCTTGTTGTCCAGCCGATGGCATTTGCTTTGCAGTTAAAACTATAGATTTGGGAAACAGCATTTAACATTAGAATGATCCACTAATGACAGTACCTGTCTTTGGTTTAGAGAGAAAACGATGAACTTCGGATAAACTATCTGTTTCCTTTTGTAAAATAGGATCTACGCAAAAGAATTTTCGATTAACTCGGATTCGTCCATATGCAGCACAAACATAGCTTACCCTGCTGATGTTCAACGCTACTTAGACTTGTGCTTAGTGCATTCATCCAGTTTGTATGAAGGCAAACATCTGATGCTCTTTCATCTGATTCAATATTATTTGAATTAACATAGTCTAAGGTAGGACTATTCACATCATGTGGATATGTAAAATTATCAATTCGACCGCTTGAGAAGCCTGATACAACTGTTGTTGTATTTGATGTCGAAGTTATCGATTGTTGGTCTCTAGCCGTTACTAATTCTCGTACGTTTACATTTTTACTTGCGCAATGAATCGATTCTGACGTTATATTGCTTAAACTGACTTGTGTATTTGTTGGGGACGGAACTGTTACAAATACTGGAGGTGTTAAGACAGTCACTGATTGAGTTTGCCATAATGCTGGTGCTGTTGCTCCTTAATGTGAATAAGCGAAGTGTTTGGATCACAAAATATCAAACTTTAGCACATAGATAAATGCATTCTTTGAGCCTAAAATACTTCTTCTTCCTCGCAGGGAAAAGACTCAAGACTTTCTTCTAAGAGTAAATAGTTGAAAATATTTAGTACACTTGTAGTTCACGTCCATGATTTATTAATAGAAGAATGTTATACTTTTTTACAAACCTAAAGAAATTTCAATATTTTTAAAATTTTTTTAACTCTTACCAGCTTGTCGTTTAGCTCCTCTCCTATTCCTGAAAGAATATGGCATTGCTCCTTCTGAAGATAATTTGAACACGTTTTTCAAATCCTTTAATCCTGTTTTTCTCGGATTTACGGTTAATATATAGTTAAAAATAGTACAGTTAAGCACGAGTCAAGTTTTTTCTTATATATTATCTTACAGAAACATACCGCTCTTTTCTTCGGTATTTTCGTCCTACTGATACAGAATAACAGTTACATAAGTTAAATTATATATTATGCACATTCCAGTTTAATATATTTATTTATTTACATTCCTATTTATTTTATTTATCCTCTACATTTTAACATGAGAAACGCAAAACATATTTCTCACTAACCTTGAACATTTCTTCTCTTACTTGTCTTCTTGACAGGCAAAAATAAACTGGAATAAATTTCGGAACATCAATAATGTTTCTTACAAAGTGACTTCCTTAAATTAGCAAAAACATTATATTCGAGATCTTGGTTTTCCTATAAATCTCCTGGAAATCACGTTAATTATTTCCTATACATTTATTTAATTCCGAAATCTAATAATAATAAGATTATTAAAACAATATTAAACATCCCGAAGAACGACAGCACGTTGTTATAGACTGACAGAAAGTTGTGTTCTGTTGTATTTCAGAAAGTTTTGACGTGTTCTCATCCTTGTCTCTGTTTGTTGCTGATGTTGTTCTTGGACAGTCCATCGTATATGACCGTGTTGAAACTTTTGTTCGCTAAAACGTTTCAGTTCCATTCGAAAAAGTTTTGAACTAAGTGAATAGACGAAGAATGTTAACACTCTCCAGTGCTGTGTCAACCGCTTTTAAAACTTGAACCATAGGGAAATTAGTAACAATGATGGATGCGATAGAAATTTCTCTCTGCCAAACATATCATTTCCACGTTAAAACTGGCAGCTCATGGCGTTTTTGTGATTTCAGACCAAAAACCAACCAAGAAACCCAAACGTTTTCCGAAAACCGTCTAGAAATCTCTCAGGAATCCTTAGATACAGGATACCACGCTTATCCAATATTTAAGGCTAAATCCAACTTAGAAACACATAGAAACCTGAAGGTTTTCTAGAGATCTTGGTAGACCTTCTAGAAACCTAGAACCATTTCCGCCATCTTCCCAATCCTGAGCTACGCCCGGTCGTACTTAGTGAATTTCTCAAAGACCGTTTTACTGATGCCGTATGTTGGCGCCATCTTTCGAGCTCATTTCCCATTCGCTTAATATATTATCCAATCATTATTTGATGTATTCTGCGGATCCTTATTTACGGCAACTTATTTACGGCTAAAAGTAGTTTACCA